CCTTGTGCTTGGCTCGAGACTTTACAGGACATGGCTCGCAACCGACACAAGTGGCGCGTCTGCTGCCGTCTCCTAATCGGATTGCCTGTTTAAAGTGTGTTTGGTGCTGAGTTATCTGCGGGGTAATGGCTGTTTATGACGCGTGGCAGTGAAAACCGCAAGGAAGCTGTCTCGCCGATGCCGCCTTATCTTTGCACAAGAGCCAGCTGTTTGTGACGGAATGTTGTCTACACAAGGTGTAGGCGCCTTGACCCTGAATGTTTGCTTAAGGCATTAAGGTTTTCAGGTAAGTCCCTCTTCTCTCCCTCTTCTTATTCTTTATTTCATAGGTCCTCATGGTTGTATGGCAGCGAAACATCAGTTCAAATGGCTGATGTACTGCTGTTGATGATGATGATGATGACGCCGCTGGTCACAGCAAACGAAGAGAGCGTGCCGTAGGCCCTGACTTTGCTCGACGTGTGGATGTAAAGTGCTTTCAGGGTGGCTACAAACTTGTCGGGCATACTTTCCTTCAGTAAACAGTTACATAACGCAGGGCTACCTAATGAATCAAATGACGATCGGATGTCTGAAAACACTACGATTGTTGGACGCCGGTGGATGTGATGGAGTTCGAGAAGTTGGCGAAGCGTGAAGATTTGGTCGATGCAGCCGCGGTCTGAACGAAATCCGGTTTGCTCTTCTGGAGGAAACTCCCCTCTAGTCGTTGAAAATCTGCGAAGTAGAACCGGCATGAAGAGCTCGGATGCGACAGAGGTTGACGGGATTTCGCGGTAGTTATAGCAATCGTCACGGGAGCCACTCTTGTGAATTGGAACAATGGCCGATTCTCCCCATGAGTTCGGATATATATATATATCTTCCATCGGACGTGCTATATATATATATATATATATATATATATATATATATATATATATATATATATATATATATATATAGCACGTCCGATGGAAGAGGGCCGATGAACGTTTTGCCACGACCTTCCGCGCTCAGCATTCAGAGCAAGGTTAGCTAACAGCTAGCGATCGCCGGACAGTGTCATGTGGCTGCCGGCGTGCCGGCCTATACCTCACCAGTTTATGCTTGCATTCCGCTGATGCCTGAACTAAACCACTTGTATGAGGAGGATGCTATATGTCCTCACCACTAAGGTTAGAGAGAAATTAATGTGTCTGCACTCGCGCACCCACGCCATTTCGCTAAGTATTTGATGGCGGGGACAACTATCGTAAATGACCGGCATTCACCATTAGCGAACCGCGGTCGGTTCATGAACCGCCCTTCACATTCCGGAATGCGTTCATCGGCCCTCTTCCATCGGACGTACTGTGTATATATATATATATATATATATATATATATATATATATATATATATATATATATATATATATATATATATATATATACAACGATCTACGATTAGACATAAAGCCATCAGAAACCATGGGACTCGAAATAAGATACAGAAATAGTAAAAGAAAACACAACACAAAACATCAAAGTCCATAGTTTCGTAAGAGGGCGAGATACTACCCGGTTGCTCAAGCCGAAGTAGGGTGCTGACTTAGGGGACACCGCCCCGAGCCTTTGGCTGAATAGCCTGCCCTCAAGGCAGCGGAGCGAATTCAGGGAATCGCGCCCATTGGGAGCCAGTGACTGATTGATCAGTTCATACGCCTTTCGTTTGCTCTTTTGTCAAACAGGGACCGAATGCTCTTCTCAGTTCAAACTTTAGTGAACAGCGATAGGATTTCGCTGATAAGTACACGCCTGCCATATTTGAATAGAAGCGGTGGTAGGCTGTCGGGACCAGGAGCCTTGTGGCGTTTCAAAGATTGGATTGCATCGCGGACCTCTGTTTCATTTGGGGGGGGGGCTGTGGAGACAGGCCAAGCATCATCCATTGGGACTGGAGGCGCCACAGCGGGCTGTGTTGGGTGGTTGAATTGAAGAGCGAAATACTCTGCCAAGCGACGCAATCGCCTGTGAAGGTTAGTGAGCTTGGTGCGGTCTGATTCGCAAATCGTCTGGCTGATAGAGTGGGAATTGCAACCCGTGGCCCTGGTGATGCAAAATAGACGGCGGAAGTTGCCAGCTGATGCAGCGGCTTCCCTCTCATCAGCTTGTTTTGAGCACCAAGATTCACGATCAGAGCAAAGGCTTGCTTTCAACTGTTGCGTAATAGACCGGCGGTGGTCGTTGTATGCTGCGCCAGCAGGCATCGACCGTAGGAGATCCAGCAATTCCGAGGATCTTCCCGAGATCCTCGCCGAGGTAGGGTAGTACACCGTTTAAGAATCAAATAACGATGGGGGTGAATGACACAACGCTCTTGTACAGTCGCGAAACCTGACCCATCAAGTCGACAGACATAAAGAGGCTACTTACGTTTGATCATCGCTGCCTCCGCAGCTTAGGTTATTTCTGGTGGGAGTACCGCGTAAGCAATGAGCGTGTTCGGTGTCGCGTATTTAGTGCAAGAAGAGCGAGGGAACCATTTAGTACCGTTATATCACGCACCATGCTTCGATGACTGGGCTACGTGTTGCGCATCCCAGCACACCGATTCCCGCGAGGTGCGTTGTTTGCGTGCCGGGGCTGTGAGTGTAAAAGAAGGAGGGAATGCCAAGCGATGACTTGATCAAAAGGAATGAAAACCCTCACTTTGAAGTTGGCGTCAGTTGGTGTTTCCCGACTGCCTGGCTGGGGACCAAAGGATAATGAACACGTATGGTTGGATAGAATAACTGACATGGGGAAAAGTCGACCTCAATGGCGTTTGTGTTGTGAGTCGCTTTGTCCCCCTCCCCTTTAGCTTCCCCTTCCAACAAGGATGTCAAATGAGATATTTGGCATTACTTATTTAACTTTTTTTAGTCTGCAATGATTAATTCCTTAGCCTTGTTGTACTGCGGCACATTAGACGAGGTGTCTCCCAGCCACGGTTAACGTGTACTGATGATGATGATAATGATGATGATGACGACAATGACGACGATGATGATGATGATGGCGATGATGATTACGGTGATGATGTGTGTTGATAGCGTGTGTTTGTAAAGTTGACGTAGCAGCAGTGGATCATCATGAGAGTGAACAGAATGAACGCATTTGGGGTTACATGGCTCGTCAGTGGGCGAGATACTACCCGGTTGCCTAAGCCGAAGTAGATGGGTTGTCTTAGGGGAAAGGCCCCGAGCCGTTGGCCAAAGGGCCTAACCTACAAGATAGTAGAGAAAGACAAGGGTTTTGTACCCGTTGGGAGCCGGTGACAGAACATTCAGTTCATACCTGAGGCTCAATATTCCTGAAGTCAAAGGAAGAATCCGATCGTCGAATTGCTTGCCGATGCGCAATGTCTCCGAGGACAAAGGGCAGTGACTTTACGTAGGAGCGAGTCACATCCGCCATATCGCAGTGCTGTTAAGCAGGTACTTAGGGCTTTTTATAGGGAGAACGCTTGCCGAGAGTAAACCAACCACGTCCTGGAACAATGACGCAGAATCATTCGACAGAAAGGGAAATACCCGAACCGCCCAGGTAGCATTACGGGTTGTTCGGCAACGCTGATGTAACGAACCACAAGGATTGCATTTAGTTTACCCGAAAACCACAAAAGCTGCAATAGTCTAGTATAATATAAAAATTCAAATTGTTGCGTGCTACTATTAAACTTTTGACCATGACTATATACGCTAAGGCTGATGTAGCATTTATGGTGCTTGTTCACCGCAGTTGGGTTAAATCAACTTACACTTAAACTAGGTCTCTTTAAGGTGGATAAAATTCACTCCACTTTATTTGGTTTGTTCTGCGTACTTGATAATCTTCTCCTAATTTGCACATGTCGCCCATGCTAAATGTGGCAACCTTGCGTAACTTGATCACGTGGTAATTTTTAAAAAACTTTCGGACATTTTGCACTTTTCACGGATTCGCTTTTAACCAATTTACTCCGTATGCAAATTTAGCGAGTATTTATGTCGTCATAAAGATTTACTTTATTCGATATTTTTATATGATATTGGCATTTCGAATGACTGACTGTTGTTTGACATCCCCGGTGTGGCTGCGCTTGATGTGCATGTTGACAAGGTGCCTACCTGTCTATTACCCACTACATCGTCCATACTGGCTCTAGGAGATAGTTGGTCGTTGCTGGAGGGGACGGGGTGCACGGTCCTTGTGGCCGTGTTAGGCTCGAAGAGTGGTTCCATGCACTCAGTGTGGAGCGGACTACGGTCCAACCACCGCCTTGTGTGCGCTCGATTCCCCAAATAGAGCGTGCTTGTGTTTGCCTGTGAAGGAGTGTGGGCCGGCTCCCTTGATGAAACGTGGCTCCCATCCACATGCCTCCCGGTCTTATTCCTTCGGGTTTACACTGGATATGGGGTGTGGTTGGAGCTGTGGGTGGTGCAGCGCAAGCCACCCATGGTCCGTCTGTAGGCGCAGGCGTCCTGTGGCTGGCCACAGTGACAGGCAAATCGGAAACCGGATGCCGCCGACCATATATATATATATATATATATATATATATATATATATATATATATATATATATATATATATATATATATATATATAAACGAGCCAAAAGATCCTAACCTCAACTCTTTACCCTGGTTATCGCTTGTCCTTCAGATTGAGTCGCGGTATAATGAGGGAAAACACAACCGGCTACTGAAAGTGTTAATAACCAAACAGCCTTTCTCAAGCCTAACCTCCTCTTAAGAAATATAACATGGAACGCCGTGCAGTACTACCGATCGACCGAGTCTGGGCTACCAAACTTCGTGAGTCGGTCTCATCCAGGATTACATCAAATGGTCACTGATGATGGCCAACAAAACCATGTACATACACAGAGCAAACTGTATAGAAAATACGGAAAGGTTAAACACAAGTAACTGACCGAAGAAAAGACGTGCAAAAACCATCAAATGACCACAACAAATTAACCGGAAGACGCCAAACATAATAATCGAACCTACCTTCAATGCATATGCTTTTCCTGTGCGCACGCAAACACATTTCAAAACTTTACCGCTGATCCCTGTACCCAGAATGGATTTGGATATCTGGTAATCCTGTGTTATCTTAGTCTGCTTTGGGAGAAATATTGCTCTGTTCATAGGATTGAGATTGTTGGATAACAGAAAACGAGGAAAGACAAGACCAAGTGTAATATACGCTCTGGTCGAGAATCCTGAGAGTTCCCGTATGCAATGCGTAAGGTCGTAATAGACCGATGGGGCTGAAATGTAAAACAGATATCTCATAGGCGGTTGAATGGAATAATCAAAAGTAAGTAGTGAGAGACCAAACTGGATGTAAGATGAGTACGAGTAGCGCCCCATATGGAGCTGGATGTCACTGTCACAGTTCGAATGAGAACAGAGCAGTAGGAAATCCCATGGTTGTTGCCTCTTGAGCACATCGTTTGACCAGGATAAAGTCGAAGAAAGCCAAACCAACGTATCCAATCCAAATTACGATCGGTCAATGCTCCCGTGGCATACACTGGCAGTCCACGTTGTACCGAGTACGTGGAGAATAAAAGACGAGAGAAGACAAAGAAACGACAGAAAAGTAAGCAGAGCACTTAGTCCCTGATACAGCACATGAACAAAACAAAGTAACAATAGGAGATGGGAAGTCAAGGAAATAAAAGTAGAAGTTTGGACACAAAGGTAAAGGTTTGAAAGTGCAGTGCAAGGGTACAGAGTCGATGTTCAAACTCTTTCACGGTTGATGCTAATAAGGTCCTTGGGTGGCGCATTCCAAGAAGCGGTAGTCCGACATGCCAAAGGAAAATCGGTCATAATCCGATCAGATCGGGGCTTACGTAACTTCAATGAGTGAACCCAAAGAGCTGGACTCCAAGCAGGATGAGACAGTAGAGACAGAATATGGTTAATCTAACCAGTCAACATAAGTGAGGATCAAATCACTTCGAAGGCGCTTATAGTGCAGTGGAAACAGGTGTAATTTGAGCAGCCGAGAAAAATACGACAGATACGTTAACTAGTGTATCATATTAGTGACAGTTCTTAAAACCCGCTTAAATGCAATCATAGCGTGAGGAATAAACATGCACGTAATATTCCAAGTATGGCCTAGTGTGAAATGAAAGCGACAAGGTAAATATTACCACCATTATGATCCCGAATAGCCTGCAGATCATCCACAGCATCCGGAAGCACTGGTGAGTAGCAGTCTTTTAGTCATCGATGGGTTCCAGGACTGACGACAGTGAAATGCCTAAGTCGACCTGTTAAGTAAATTGTGGGCCTTCATTCAAGTTCAGTAACGCGTGAAGGGCGCACTTGGTCCAAAGTTCAGAACCAAACCCTTCGTAAAATCTATAGTTAACTGCCACAAATCTAACCGCCTTCAATGCCTGATACAAAGTCAAGGAACTATTAGCATCACCAACTGTGCACCAAAAATTTAACTCAGCTACAAACAGAAGGGACCACTTTGAGCTCTTCAAAGGGATCCATGAAATGGAGCGCGAACAAGAGAGGGCCGAGAACAGATCCCAGTGGAACACCACTGAGGACAGTTTGCTGGGGAGAAAGTCCGAAGCCCATTCAGACGCAAATCTCCCGTCCTTCAAAAAGCGCAGAAATCTACTTCAGAAATTGACCAAAAACGCCGTAGTAGTGCAGTGAAACTGGCACCAGCGTGAAGCGGTGCCAAGGCTTGGGCCTGAAAGGAAAAGTATGAAAAATAGCAGACCTAACAATAGTGCAGACAAAATTGAAGGAAAGGGGAAACAACGACAGACGTCTAAGAAAGTTTCAACTGTCTTATTACCTGCCTTATTACGGGACACGCTTCGAACCGGTCAGGTGCAATACGATCTCAATGAGAAATATGACTCAGATTCAGAACCTCAGTACTTGTAGAATAAGAGTACACTTTGTATTATCTACATTATAAACAGAGCAAAAGCTGGCCTGTAGCTTTAAGGATCACAACCTTGCATTGTAATCCGAGCGCGGGAGTTCGAGCCTGCGTAGGGACCGGACGACCCTCGCAGTATCCTTAGCCAAAATGCAACTGGTGGTGGCTGCGCGGCAGCGAAGCGTCAGTACTGCGTACAGGCGTACTGCTGATGGCTTAAATAGAACAAAAATTGATCAATGCAGAATGCTGGTCAGTGTAAAGTTGCAATTTCGGTCGCTTGGCTTCAGTTACACAAAATACGGATTAAAAAGCTACGAAAACGGTACAGAGTTAAGTGTATTGGTCCTGCAAGACTGCGCAAAGAGAGGGCGAACATGGTGTCTGCATTACAAAGTGTGCAAAATATCTGTCAATTGGCTGTCCGAAATACCATACAGATCCTTCCAAAACAACAGGACTGGGAAACCAGTTGCAAAAATGCATCACGCGACGAGTGGAACAACGAATATGAGAAATGTGTTCCATACGCGAAACTTTCAGTTTGCAAACATGCCCTCGGGTGGTCGAGGCATCCGGATACAGAACATACACCTCAGATGAAGAAAGTGTCCCGGATGGATTCTGAATGTCGTAATAAGATGATTTCATAACCTCCCGTAAACTAATGGGCAAACTCGTAGTTTATGGCACCTCTGTTGATAGGATAAGACACGAAGCATAGGAATCCAGTGAGTGGTTAGGTGCTGCATTTTTTCAAGTTGTTTCATCTCGTCATTTGTGCTGGAATGGTAGGCCAATGCACCGTACGCTAACAGCAGACGCATCAAGGCGACATATAGCCTGATAGCAGTTTCCTCCGATCAAACAGAGAATGTTCGCTTTAGTGACCAAAGCAAGAGGAGGCGGATTGTGCATACTCTCCGACTACTTTACATCACAATGAAACAATACTCCAAGATCTATGACGTCTGTAGGAGAGCGCAGCCGTCGGTCACAAATATTGTACGTCCGTCACGAGAGAATTGGCTTAGGCTGAATAATTTGAAGGTTTCGGGTTCAACCGGAGACAGTTAATTGATGCCAATGAGAAGAAAGACAGGCATCAGAAGTACGCCTGCACAACTTACGGACGCTTCGCTGCCACTCGACCCCCAATGGTCGAGCGTGGGCTGGATACAAAGCGAAGTTGCCCGCTCCTGCGCGGATTTGAACCAGTGACCTCCGGAATACAAGGTGAGCACGCAATTATTTCGACTACCGGTCGACCATTGATGTCCATAAGAATATTTCGTCGAGAGTACGTTGAAGTAAACCCTGATCGACGTGTGTCGATACTCCTCTCCAGACCTTTAAACTATCGGCGAAGTAGATTTCAAGTCTCATGGCAAATCACCGATATAAAACGAAAGTGTTGGGCCAAGTACTTTGTCTTGTGGCACACCACTAGAGACAAAATACCATTGTCTTCGATGATTATTGATCTGAAAGCACTACTGTTTCTCGTACAAAAAGGACTGAATCCATTGCAATAAGTTGCCACCCACACCGTAACCACAGAGCCTGGATAGTGAGACAGTGTGATTCACTCCATCAAGTGCTTTGCTAAAATCGATCAACGAGGGATCAACGCCTTTTCTTTCGTTGACTGCTTCAATCCAACTGTACTGGGTGTTACGACTCCCTCTTGGTTACGCCAAAAAGCTGACAATATGGTATCAACAACTCTCCTAGTCGGCCGAACGAAAGTGATTCGGAACTATATCTATGCACGGTAAGGCAACAGACGAAATTCGAAGTTTTTACGACCCATGAGACTTGGCGCAACACGGTTGCTAGGTGCGAGTTGAACGGGTTCCCAGACCGAACGCGACTTGCCACGCAACTACCGAACCCGAGAGAAATAAGACAAAAGACAGGCCTTTCGCAATAGCCACTTTTACCGGCCAGCCTCAAGGTGATTACAGAGCAGTTTAGCTTTGCTCAAATATCGGGACTGAGAAATATGTGAATGTTCACGTAGAATTATTTGCGTAAGCAAACCCTGGAAGTAAGGCATAAGCAAGAGAATTGGCACTGTGAATTTGCCAACAGGTCGAAAAGTGAATGTTGGTAGATGCGGAGGCTGGACAGGAAAAATGAGTGTTTCTTAGGTAAAAGAAAGGTTGAATGTATCATGATTGCGGAGGTTGACCGGAAACAAGAATGCTTCTTAATTACAAAGGCTGATGGAAAAGTGTACGTCTCACGAGTTGGAAGGCTGATCGAAACACGTGCACTGATCCGAAAGCGAGTCTCATTGCCTTCCGTGGTTTCATTCTACGATCTTGTGGGGGACGTGAGATCTTTATAACACCGGGAAGCCAGGAGAACTGAGAACTGGTGCGAAGCAGCGAGTAGAGTTTGCTCTGTGTAGCTGCATCATTCGTCGTTTTCGAACATGAACTTTTTATTTATCGTTTCGCTCTTTGTACTTTGCCTCTGCAAATTGTTTGTCTAGTAGCATCTTGAATTTAGACACGGTGTTCGCTTCTACTATATGCTGAGGCAGGTCGTTCCAGACAATCACCACTCTGCGTTCGAAACAGAGTTGATGGTTGACCTGCTTCAAATCGGGTACGATAAGTTTATACCGGTGTCCTCGCGTGCAGCTTGGTGTGCGCAGATGAAGTAGTTGTCTCAACATGGGGTAATCACCCAGATGTAATATCCGGTGCGTCATGATGAGGTCAACTCTCAGCCGACGATAAGATAGGGTGTATAACCCTAGTTTCTTACATCGGTCTTCGTATGGCATACCTCGTAAGTTGGGAATCAGCCTAGTGGCTACATGCTGCACCCGCTCAAGCTTTTCTACCTCGCCCCGGGTGATGGGACAATACGCGGGAGAGCCGTACTCTAGCATTGGTCGTATTATCGAGACGAAGAGGCGAGTGGCAATCTCTTCGGACCAAGTGCTAAAGCTGCGCCTGAGAGCCCAAAGCATACGAAGGCTGTTTTGGTACAGCCTATTCGTGTTGTCAATGGACTTTAGGTCGCAGCGTGAGAGTACACCGAGGTCGCGCACGAAAGGAGCGGAATGTAACGGTTGTCCAGCCACTGTGTACGTTCGGCCGTGATCACACTTACCCAACCTCATGAATTGCGACTTGGCAGGGTTGATCGGAAGGTTAACCTCTGCAGACCATGTTGAGAGGCGGTCGAGATCCTGCTGAAGTAAATCGCAATCATTGAGTGTGCGGATTACTCTCCACACTTTCAAGTCATCTGCGAACAAAGCACAATGTGATTGTAGTAGCTGAGGCACATCGTTTATATGGATTAGAAACAATATCGGGCCCAGTAC